AATACCAGTCCCCATTCCATTAGAGAAGGTACTAGGAATCTCAGAGACTGTATCCATAGGAGACACTGTATTATTATACTGCTCAGTAGCATGTGTGGCTGCTTGAAACTGTGCTGAGGAAGCAGATTCAACTTGCATGTTCTCTGAACCAGCAACAAGACTAGCATTGTGTGTTTCCATTCTTGAATCATCGACATGAGATGAAGGTAAGAAGAAAAAAGGTAATGACAAATAAGGTAGTTCACTGCTGGGAAAAGCAATATGTTCCTTAAAATGAATATTCGCAACAATCACAGCAGGTGGAGGATATTGTAAATAACCAGGAGATGTAGCCCGTGTCATTGAGGAATCTGAGGAGTCAAGATCATTGACCTGCACATCAGCCAAACACATCAGCCTAAAACAAGAAATCAAACATGATACTTTGGTTACAACAGGTAAATAATCAATGAAAATGATCAAAGGTGTTTCAGTTTGTTACCTCAGCAGTTAAAAGATATGGTGCTGCATGCGGGTGAAAGTGAACGGCCCTAAGTGAACGCCTTGTTTTCAACACAGATGTTGGTGAGGATCCTTCACCTCTCTTGTTGTAGTGCCATATGTAGAGCTGGCATGGCATTGAAAACAAAAAAAAACTAAGGCATCAAATCCACCAAAAAACAAGCCAGATAAACATAAGAGATTATATAAACAGCAAGTAAAAATCATACCTTGTGGCCTGATGCAATGGCAAGTATTTCCCCTTCAGCATGAAAAGCAATGGACGCAATGGGGCGATCTGTGATTGAAAAGATCATGATAAGAGTAAAAATGGAAGCAATAGAACAATAGACAAATTCTGCAACGGAGTAAAAGTAATTTAGGACTTAGGAGATAGGGGGATTAAGAGTAAAATTACAGAAATGGTGAAATAATATGCATTTTGATGTGTTAGCATCCCATAAGCGAACTTCTTGATCCAAGCTCCCACTAGCAAGTATATGTGGTTGCAACGGATGGAACCTAACCTGTAATTCATCAGCACCATATTAATATAGAGATGAGGCAAAAGTACCTATCAGTTAAACTTGCAGAAGAAAGGAATGCATTGCTTATTTGAACCAAACAATAAACAAAATGGTTAAAGCATCTAGCGGCAAGCTAACAAAACCTTGAATCAGATAAATAATCAATATGCGCCACTATCATTCATTTCTATATTGAAGGCAATGCCTAACTTATAAGGGCCAGAATTTCCTAAATCATTCATAGCCACACATAAATTATAGAAATAATTATAAAATTCTTATAAACTTTTAAGGCACAACACAACAACAAAAATCAATGACAGAATGCATTCCCCAATAAAGGGGATGAGTGCTAATTAATGGGCGCTGAACAAACTTGCTAATTGTCACATGCTCAAATAAAACTTCAGTGCACCAGCCACAAAATCAAACCACTGTTACACAATTTAACAGCTTCAATGACTGAAAATATTTAACAAATATTAAATGACTGAAAATAGGGCTTTGTTATATGTATAAAACTCAAAACCTTGGAAACTGTCCCTTCTTTGAGAGTATATCACATCAAACTTGATGTAACAAGGTTTCACTCTCTAGAAATGATAATCAGTAACGAGCGTAAGAGAAACTTTGAAATAAAATTTAGTTACAAGAAATTGAGGCAAGCAATAAAATGACAAGCTTACCACCCAAGGGGTCCTCCTATGGCCAATTAACACATTTAAGCAACTTCCAGTTTCCCAATCAATTATTTTTACAGTATGGTCACCACTGCACACGCCAAACAAAAACAAAGCTCAACCACAGAGGATTTCAAATTAGTAAAAGGAGGAGGAAAAAAGTACAACTTACTGTGTCGATGCAAGCACTTTTCCATCTGGGCTAAATGCTGCAGCAATAGTAGATCGTGGGGGAGGCAACAAAGAACAATATTTAGCTGATAAATGCCGCAATGACTCTGCCTCTACCCTGAAAATCATTGTTATGTTATTCCTCAAATTTTACTGTTCTTAAAGAAAGAAAACAAAGATATGCACCTTGAAGAAGCTTGATTTTCATTCAATGAGACTTATAATATGAAGTTGCATAATTACCATGAGAGGAGACTGCGTTTCGAATCTCTCACTGCATCATTTTTAGGATGCGGGCAAGAACCAGTTTTGGGTTCAGAAGCTTCTCCCCAGTGCTGTTTTGGCACATGTTTTGATCTGGCAGAAATCTCTCTATGCGCTAGCAAATTAAATACATTTTTTCCACTGACCAGAGTGAACAAATCAAGTGAGAGAATAATCAAGAAGAAAAATATTTAATTTCAAATTCTTAATGAATAGCAAAAGAAAGTGATTTTCAGCCAAAGCTGTCAACAATAAACTTGATATCATTTACCATAATAAATAAATTTCATATCCATTCACAAGTACTTGGAAAATTGTGAATTATTTAGCTTATTATTCCATCACTAAGCACTGATAAGTATTTTCAATACCTAAGGATGAAAAAAGTTTACATGCTCCATAACCATAAAAGCATACATGAGAAGTTCTCAGGGACTCCAGTGCTGCGAATTTATGGTCATATTATATAATCCACGTGTATTTCTTCCGAAGAAAGAAAATTCCTCAAATATGCTCCCGATAAAAAGGCAATGTGGATATTTTTACTTCAAATTATATTGATCTCGACAATGGGCTAAAATTAGATCACTGGATCACACCTTGGGGAAAATCTACCGCTTGATATTGAGTTGGTGGCAGTAAATCAAAGATAGGCAACATTGAAAATCAACTAGCACCAAAGAAGAGGATCTTGAAAACTAAGAAGCTTAGAAATGAAAATCAGAAATAATACACATATATCAGTTCTCAGTACACGGCTATATAAGATCTCCGCTGGCCCAACAAGTATCAGGAGGATACTATCATCCATCAGCAAAAATGGAAGCATCCGCTAAAATAGACCATCATTTCATAACCTGCTAAACTTGGTGAATTGCCATCAAATTTCCGGCTTTTATGCCGTCAAACTACATGACCCAGAATTCAAATTTCTTGCTTTCTTCCGAAAACAAGACAGCGGGACACCCAAGTTCAGAGTGACACGAAGAAATAAAGAAAAAGAAAAGAATCGGTACAAACAAAAGGGATGATCTGAAAGAACTCAGACCTGCTGTTAGAACTACAGGAAGACGAGGACGAAGGTAGGGTCTGATCTTGAGGCCGAGGAAATCCTGTCATATCTGTGAATTTCATTCATAAGAATTGAAATTAAACAGCAAAGATCAATCACCGGACGAGGAGAAATATTACAGTTGCCAATATCTGAAAGCGAAATTCATAGTTTCAATCCCCGGAAGTGGAAAGTTGGGTTTCCACAAGTCTCCCTCTCTATGAGGGCGCGTGTGTCGCTTTATTTAGCCTCCGTGTGGATTTCAAGGTGAGAATCCACGCCGTAGGGGTGGGAATGAAAATATGGCGAGTCCTGGGGCCATGGATGCAATTACGGATTTTGAAGGCTGCTAGGGCAAACAGCTGTCCTGATCATTGATGTGACCACTCCTTTTCTTACGGTCCGTTAGATCAACCAGCATAGAGATTTGTGAAACCTGAAAGAGGTCGATTTAGGCCCAACCGTACGAGGATGGATGGATTATACCATAATCATAAGCATAATAGGAGTGTATTATATGTATTAGCGGGAAAATAACGAATTTATGATAATGGCAGGTTTGTTTAAAATTAAAAAATAAGTGATTTTTAAATAATTCAGAGATTTTATTAAAATATATTTATTTTATATAAAATTTATAAAATGTAAAAATTATTTTATATTTAATTATAATAATAAAAAGTGATTATTAATTAGTTATTTTTAAACTTAATGATATTTTTTATGTTTATTTTATAAAATAATTTATTATTATATTATATTAAAATTTTATAATAATTTCACTTTTTTTAACAATTTCATTTATAGTATTAAATTATTTTTGAAAGTTATTCAAAATAACTTTTTAAAATAATCAAAAATATACTTTTATTAAATTCTGATTATTTTTAAAACTTTAAATACACATCATAACAACCCACAAAATATAATTTCATAAAATAAGTGATTTTTCATAAAATAATTTAAAATAAACGTGCCAATAATGAAAGAATTGGTTAATTTCAACCATTTTTTGTGAATACATAATGGCTTCTTTAATTAATGAGTTCGATTTAAATTTACCAAAATAATATAGGCTGAACGATACAAAGAAATGTCTTTTTTATTGAAAAGTTGGAAAGACGGTTAGATATTCAATGCTAGTACCTTTTACCATAATATTTAAACCTTCAACATGTGTGCAGTTTTTCTTAACTGGATAAGAAATGGTTCAAAGCTTCAAATAATTAGAAAGATAGTAAGATCATTTAAAAAAAAGAAAAGGAAAAGAAAGATAGCAAAGTGCATGATTGCGTAGCAAATTCAACAGAATTCAACAGAATTGAGAATATTTCACGCCAATAGATAGTAGATAGATAATTCTCTCTGAAACCAGGCAACACTATGAAGTTATTTTACCTAGGGCAAGATGAATGAAAAAGAAGTTTCGTTTCAAAAATAAGACCTTTTTCCAAAATAAAGACTTTATCTCATCACATTTTGGACATAAACTAAGATTCCGTCAAACACAGAAATAGAGATTACTAGGAATTGAATTCAAGATCCCAAGGTCCAATAATATTGTCTGTTCCACATTCCCAACTTTACAGCAAAAACTACTGCAATCAAATAAGGAGAGAAGTCATTCATATCGGCTGAACAGATAACCGCATGACCTGCGAACACAGACATTGCATGGATAAAAGGAATATGCTAAAAGCGTTTCGTAACATAGAGACTGGAAAAGGAATAAACCCGAATCCCATCAGTTACCTACAAAACTATTAAGAAGCTGACAAATGCACCGCATAACAACAAAAAGAAACAGTCAAAAATTACAGATACAAATGGAAATAACGAAAATTTAATAGGAAAATCAGGGTTTTACATACAAAATCGCGCTGAAAAACTAGGCTTATGGGGAAAAGAATGTAACTTATCTATATACACTAGGCTAAGGTTTGAAAATCACATCCAGCCTTGCTCAAACTAATATACTCTAGTTTCAATCTTTTTTTGATAAGCTGGGTCCCCATATACGAATTGTATGATCATCACTGGCAGATGCCAACATTTGTGGTCTTCTAGGGTTCCAGCTGACACAATTCACAGTCATCGTGTGCCCAGATAAAACCTCTATTGGTTTTGAGTTCCGGCGGTTCCAAATGTAGACCTGAGTCCATTGGATCCAATATTTGTTAGTTTCTACTTTCTATAGCTAGCTGCAAGTAATTAGCCAATTCTGAAGGAAAGAAATACCTCTGAATTCTCGCTACCGCTGGCAATGAATGTGCTATTCAATCCACCAAAGCATGACCTTATCACATATTTGTGTTGCTTGTGGCCCTTGTACCTCAATGGCTTATCCCATTCCCCACCCACATCCCACATATGAATCTCCTGGCTGTTCAAATTGACGATGAAGAATTTGCCATCTCCTGAAACTGTAAGGGATGTGATTGGGTGTTCCTCTGAAATGACTCGATCTATATTCGTCCCCAAATGCAAAATCCGAATCTCTTTTTCCATGAATACGGTGATAAGGTACTGCCCATCTGATGTAACAGCAAGATCTACAACTTTAGGCATCCTAACTCCTCTCCAAGCCTTTAGCTCATTTCCATCACAGTCCCACATGCAGATGCCCTTTTCAGGGTCGGAGCTGCCACACACAATATGCTTTGAGTTGGGAAACCAGGCACATGAGCTCACAACGAAGCCATGACTCCCAAATGTGTGCTTGCAAGTACCTGTTTCAACATCCCACAGCTTCAAGACTTCTGCATTCCCACATGTGAGCAACTTAGTGTCATCAGGACTCCACGCCACGAAAGATACAGGACTTTTGTGACCTTGTAGTGTGTGTTTCAGTGTCAATTCTCCATCTTCCAGCACCTAGTACAAGTGATCCAGAACATTAGAAAACAAGTGCCTTCAATGTTCCCCACTTCCACATGCGCACTTGACGGGTAAAACTAATAATCCAATACTAAAGTTTTATTTAGTTCTTACAGGTTAACTTCATTACATAAATACATCCAGAGGCAGCAAATAAGCAGGAGTGCGCACCAAACTGACTCAATACTCGACAAACTAACAGTTAGAAATATTTGGGGAAAAAAGAGTCGGTTCTCAGGTTGCATGAAACAAAATAAACTACGCTATACAAGTCTCTTGGCTCAATGGCATCCAAACCCCTTTAAAAAACGGAGGTTGTGGGTTATATACCCCATATGGTGAAGGGATGGGTGTGTGAGCGTGATAAGCATGTGTGTTATCCTTCCCTATGGGGGAAAGGGTAGCTGGGTAGGTAAGTTGATGTGTATGGGTGTTTGTATTTAATCCATTTAAAAAAAAAAAAAAGACCAATATAGAATATCAAAACCCAATCTCATGAAGCCCATGAATATTTTGATTAAAAAGACAGTCTGAAGAGAACATACGGAAATTCCCAAATAATATTTTATGTTAACTTATTTGGTTAAAAATGTGCTCCATGCTCTACTCCTAGGCTTCACTTGTATTTACTAAGCAAGTGGCATTCCTTTTAAGGGAGCAAATCCACTTCACTTTAACCATAAAATTATGTGATCAATTACAGTGATCAGGATAATGAGAATAGTTTTGGGTCCAACTAGTCCTGACAGGTCAATTATTCACGTAAACATCAACAATAAAGTTCAAAGGGCAGAAAGGGTCCCATTTGGATAAGTAGTTCCCCAATCCTCTCCCCCTTTATATCACAAGTATTTTTCAGCCTTTACGTGCATCAGAAAAACTAAAATCTGCCACAATAAAACTTTACTAAACTAAAATCTCCACCATACAAATAGTATAATTTCCCTTGAAATAGCTACAGGGAAGGCAATAAATTTGGAGCACCAGAATTCACGCCATTATGGTCTGGTCTTTAAAATGGGCTTAGCCAGCTGCCTAAACAGATGAAGTACCAATCATTTCTTTCCGGTAAAACTAAAATCAATGCAGGACATTCCCAATATACATTATAATTTCTTCCTCTATTGGGCTAAGAGTTACGCTCTTTAATAATTTACACATTATACACTAGTAAATGCAGTTATTCTGCCCTTGCAAATAGAGCAATATTTTAGTTTAACTAGAACCAAATAAACTTTCAACAGATTTTAAACTTTTGATAAATGGCTTCATCTAATACCCCCCACGTGCAAAATTCATTTCCCTTCAGCTTATATATGCCAAATTATCATCCAATATTGGAAAGGCTCAATCAACAGCTGCTTCAATCTACAGTCTCTTAAATAAAAAAGAAAATATTATGGACCAAAATTATCCTCACATTGGCAATAAACTAAGAGGCCTTGCTGCAATTCATGATTTGTGATTTTCTCTATAATGATTGACAAATCAAGTGCACTCATGAATTGGAAAGATGTATTCTTATTCTTAGGGTTCTCCACTAAAGTCTATTATTATCAATTAGATTAAAAGAGGGTCAATAAATTGATGTTCCCCAGCCCTCTCACGATAACAAAACGTGTCCCAGCTGACCCACTGTAAAAATCCTAATGTGGAATCTTATGCTTTCACTCCAGCATTTGTGAAAATTCCTCTAGCCAAACAACTTAAAATAATTACACAAAGTCTTGAGATAACAAATCTATTGTGATGCATACATTTGAAGGAAAATGTAGAACCAACCTAACACCTTGGCAGTTACAATTCACAGCAAAACTTCAATAGAAATACATGATGTTTCCAGCCATTTTTTGCATTATCATACAGATTATGAGTTCAAACAAGAAGTTTAATTGACATTTAAGAAAGTAAGTCTTGAAAAAATCAATGGTAAAGCTAAAATATATCTTCTATGACACTGATAACGTTATACCTTCCATATGATAGCTGTGCAATCATTAGATGAAGAGGCGAGGTACTCCCCATTATTAGAAAACTGCACAAACCAAACTTCATTTTTATGCCCAGTCAAGATCTGCAGCAATGACCAACAAATGTTATCCAAAAACATACAACACATAATGTTAGAAAACTAAAAGATAAACTTCAAATTTATCTCCATGATTTTATATATCACACTCTTTTGCCACAACTAAAGCATCCATCTAGATCAATTTCTTGGCCTACGGTTCATAAGCATTAGTCCATTTTGGAATCAGACAGACAGATACTCTCATGCCAATAATTGCTATCAAGAGACAACAATGAGAAGTCTGTTGACATGCTATTATGGTACAGCATAAACCAGTCAGTCACCTAGAGGAAAAGCGGCATAGGTTGAACTATTATAGATTGTAGATACTAGAGCATAATCATTATGTTCGTTGTTCCTTTTTCTTGAGAAAAAAATTAACTGAAACCTATACAAGTGCCCACTTGACTAACTACATCCTCCCTCTGTTACAAGAAATACACCAATTATTCCTCATCTGTAATACAAATTTGGAACCACAAGAAGATGGAAGCAATGTTTCCAATTCTCCCCCTCAAGGCATCTAATGGGAAGATCATCCTCTATCACAAAATTGATAGAAACATAGTAGACATCCTAACCAAAAGGGGTTAACATGGTTAAAACTTGAACCAACAAAATATGTATGCGCAATATGTAATCATTTTTTCCATAATAATCAATGGAGAAGATATTTTTTTCCCACAAAAAATAAAGCAACATAGATATATGATCTGAATCACAATGAAAAGGTAATTTAGGAAGACCCTTCATCTAAATTTCAAAGAAGCATGATGCATACTATATATATATATATATATATATGTAACTATTGAATAAACAAAGATCATGTGTAGAATTAATAATAGATATTGATTATTTGATTTTAAAATGGCCTGCATCCAGTAAAATGAATCCAATTTATACAACAGAAAGCAAATAAAATAAAACAAATTCTTTTAAAAGATCAAATAAATTCCTGCATTTGTCTGATAGATCCTCTTGAAAAAATAGCCATGCTATCTTGCAAGCAGTCACAATATTCAGAGCCAACTCACCTGAGTGGTTTCAGTAGGAATGTTATCCCGACTACAGCAATGGTCCTCATAAAGTGAAATTGGATCTGATGAGCTATGATACATACAAGAATCAGTCCAGGCAGTCAGAGTAGCTTCTACTAAATGCTCCAGCCTTCTTTCAGGTACTGTAATTGGAGGAGGGATCAATTTCTCCAAGTCAGCTAACAACTTTCTTCGCAAATCATGGACAATGGATCCATCTATCAAACCTAACTCCGTATCCTTCAAGGAAAGCATGCTATTGGCCAGGCTGTGAACCTTGCATTTGTCCACATGTAATGAAGAGACCTGATTCCTTAATACATTCAAAGCTAAAGTATCTTGGCCACAACTCAAATACTCCAGAAGACACTGTCTGAAGACAAGAAACAGAGCGGATTCTCTAGTTTCATCAATCATATCCTTCATTAAATTAAGAGTGCTAACGCAACCATCCCAATCCCCATTAAGTATTTGTGATTCAAGCAACCGAAATTCGGCAGATTTGAATGAAATACCAGATTCCAATTCCAAGCATGATGCAGACTTACTATACCCTAATGCATATAGGCACTGAATGATGATCCTCACAAATTCAATTTTTTTAATCAAGCCTTTTGAGCCAAGCACATCGGGTGAATTCTCCATTAATAGGATGCTGGAAAGCTTCAGCACGTCCAGACAATTATTGACTTCTATACTCAAACGACGCAAATTCCCTTCAGCTGGCATGAACCTAAATCGAATATTGATTCATCAGCACAGTTCCCGCCCTGTAAGAACACAGCTATGGAGAACCTTAACGCGAAAACCTGAGACTTTGGACTTCCCAAACTCTCAAAAGAGCCTGCCAATCATAAGAAATAGCGAGGGGCTCGAACAGATGATATACAACAGACAATAAACCTAACTCTGAATATCGTAACGACCCTGAGATTGGAAATTCGGAAGGGAAGAACAAAATCCTCTCAACCCAAATTATCAAAATTATTCTTCAATGAATCAAGAAAATCCGCAAAATAAACCCTAGATACTAGAAAGAAACGATCACGAGCTACCGGCAGCAAAAAATGTGAAAACAGCTCTATGCTCGCAGTGTTACAAAACAAGTCAAGTTTAACAACACAGAATTAGAAAGCATAAAAGGCATAAGCACTAGAGATTGAGAAGAGGATGAAGGGCAGAACCCATAACATAAATTGAAAGAAGAATCCATGACAGTAGAATCCAGATAAACTAACCCGAGTGGGTAAGAGCCGAAAGGGGATATACCCATGAACGAGAGAAGGGTTGCAGTGAGGCGAGTGGACGAGCATGCAAAACAGAAGGAAGAGGCTGGGTTCATGGAAGAAACAGAGCAAGTGTTTGAAAGAGGCCAACAGAGAAACCAGGGCGTTAGTTTTGCTCTTCAACGGAGGAAAAAATTAGTGTTGTTAGAAAGGATACGATGCCATTGGAGGGACGCAGAATGGAAAAGTGGAAGATGAAGGAGTGAGGAAGGATTGAAGGGGCCAGATCTTTAGCACGCCGTTGTCCCTTACTTGCAAGTTTCGCATTGTAAAACAGCCTAAGGTTGCTTCTTTTATTTGTAGCCTCACCTCTCTGTGGACGACAGTTTTTTTGTTAACCGGGTCGGATTCATAGTGCTAGCGAGCTGCAACATTTGGATCCACCGGCACTCCGGCACCGCCAAAGCCAGGGACTGGGCTTGGTTAGGGGTTAGCTGTTTGTATTTTTTTAATAATTATTTTCATTTAATAATAGTTAAGTAAAAAAAATTATACTCTAAGGTCAATTGTGTATTTTTCATTATAGCAGAATTGGAAAGGTCTCCCCATATTTATTTAATTTATAGACAATAGATTATTACTTATTAATTTTAAGTTTAATTGATCATCATATCATCATCTATACTGTAAAGTATAAACTCTGTCACTGCTGATCTATTGTTGTTTCAACATTGACGGTGGAGTCCAATTTATTTTTTTTCCATTTATTGTCAAACAGAAATATAAAAAAAAATGGGGGGAAGTAGGGACTTGGTGGATAAAAATAAAAATATGCACCAATAGTTTAAAAAAAATGAGTCCAAGATCTATCATTAAAAAATTTGGTGTGAAATCTGCAGTTTAGTTAATAAAATTTATTTACATATGGTGAAAAAATTTTGTTATATAATTTCTCATTTATAGATGTTAAAATTTAAATCAGGATTCAAAAATAATAAAATTTTTATATTTTGCAAGATGACGTAAAATCAATAATAAAAATTGATGGTGAATATAAGATTCTTATAAAAAATAATAACCATTGGATATGCAATAAAATTATAAATTTTAATTCATACAAAGTATAAAAAGTAATTTACTTAAAATAAAAAATATAAATAAAATTAATTTACTCAAAATAATAAATTTTTAATAAAATAATTTTTATTTTATATGTATGAGATTATAAATTGTAGATAAAATATAACGATAATTGAAAAATTATAAAATATAGTATTTCATTGTTTAAATTTAAATATCAATCATATACTCGTCTTGGAATAGTGAATTATTCTTTGTATAACAAAATTTTATACCATTTGTGTAAAAAGGAGACAATTTGTTGTACATATTCTTAATATAGATGAGTACGCTGCTTATGTTTTTACTATCCATAAGAATAAGAAATTCAAAAAATGCAAGTTGTTATTTATGAAATAATATAAAATAAAATTTTATTTTAAAATAAAAATTGTACGGGGATAAAAAAATTAGTTATATAAGTTCTCCTTTGTAAATATTAAAATTTATATCAAGTGTAAAAATTTATATCCCTCTATTTAAAAATGTAAAGCATTTTTAATTAAATTTTATCCTCAATGAAGTAGTTATTTACTTTCAAAACTAACCATATCTTTTTATATTTACTCCTATTAAACACCCTATAATAAATATAAAGTCATTCATTAATAAAATACTTTTAAAAAAGGACAATAATTACACCTTAAAAGATTAAAAATATCTTATATTTTTTAACATTTAATTTTTAAAAAATATCTTATATTTTTAACAGAAAGAGTAAGATTTTTTTATTTTAAAAGATCATGTAAGATCTATAATAAAAATTGATAGTGAACATAAAATTCTTATAAAAATAATCAGTGTTAAATATGCAATGAAATTATAAATTTTATTCAAACAAAGTACTAAATAAATAAAATTAATTTACTCAAAATAATAAATTTTAAAAAATAATTTTTCTTTTAATTTTATGTGCAAAAGATTATAAATTGTAAAATAGAATATAAAGCTAATTGGAAAATTATAAAATAGAATATTTTATTGTTTAATAAATTATTTTTCATACTTCACAATGTGTAAAGTAACAAACTCTTTTATTATTTGTGTAAAAATAAAACAATTTGTTGTACATGAATATTGTGGACCGGAATAAGAAATTCTAAAAATGCAAGTTGTTATTCATAAAATAAAATTTTATTTTTAAATAAAAATCATATGGGGATAAAGAATTTAAATTTTTACAGGGATAACACGGCCTAGATAAAAAAACTTAATGTATATTTATTATTTTTATGGAATAACAAATCATAAAATAATTTGTGTGAAAATAGAAAAAGTTTTTATTCTTTCACCAAAAAATCAAAAACAAGTTTTTGTCCATATTTTTCAAATGCATAGGATAGAAATTTTATTATTCTATTATTTATATCTAAAAGTATATCAAGGTTTGAAAACCTATGAAAACATTCATGTGATTATGTCCTTCAAATTCATTATATAATGTTAATAATTTATCTTCTATTGCGCATTTAATCTTTTTTTAATCATTGTATTGATTGCAATGTACGTACACGAGATTGATAAATAATATTATAACATAGAGTTATAAATTACTCCCTCTATTTTAAAATATAAGGTATTTTTTAAAGAGTGAAATGTTAAAAAATATAAGACATTTTTAATCTTTTGAGGTATAATCATTATATTTTTTTAAAAGTACCCTTATTGATAGTGACTTTATATTTATTATAGAGTATTTAATAGAGATGAATATAAAAAGATAGAGTTAATTTAAAAGTAAGTAACTACTTTATTGGGAGTGAAATTCGATTAAAAATACCTCACATTTTTGAACGGAGAGAATATATCATTTTCTTAATTTACAACTATTTTAACTAGGATTTATATAAATAGGATAAATTGGCCCTTTAGGCAAAAAAATTGTGTATCCAAAAAATATGAATCAAATTTTTAAAAATTTAAAAGTATAGTCAGTTCACGTCAATATATAATAAGTTTATTATTTATTTATAAGAGTTTTATCATTAAAATTTTATAATGAGTTTGTCATTAATGTACAACGATATATCATTGACAAATATAATAAACTGGTCATAATACAAAATATAATAAATGTTGGACTGTTTGCTTAATTTACTCCTATAACATGAATTATATCTACAAAAGTCTTTAGATAAACAATATTATAACATAAATTATAATTTATCATTATAGTACATGTTTAAATTTTCTTAAGGTGATACATGGGACAACAAAACTTTGTCCAAGAAAGGAACTTCAAACAATTTTTTTGCCAAAAAAAAAATTGAGCTATTAAGTATGTTAATATTTAAATGAAATAATTTAAAAATATTCTATTAAAATTATAAAATTTAAATAAAAATAAATATGTATTTTGTTGACTATGAGTAACCTACATCTTTTATTATATTAAATTCATATCTCATTACTTTTTTTTTTTGCATGTGTGTTTGAAATATTATTTTAGCAAACTTATGTATTTATTTTTTTTAAAATACTACATAAATAAGTCTGTATAACTAATTAATTTAAAATATGAATAAAAATTTAAAAGACTATATTAAGATTGATACTTTGATCAAACATGTGGCCTAAATTACTTAATCGTTGAATGAACGAAAATGAAAATTTAAAAATGAAAAAAAAATGTTTAAATTTTGTAGCTATTGACGATTGATTTTGAGAAAGATTTATATATATATATATATATATTTAAAAAATAAAAATGAGATTACACAAAAAGATGATAAAATTAGAATAGAAAGTGAATTTTGCCAATAGAAAGATCTGAAACTTGTTAGGCATTTAATAGAGAGAACAAATGTATACTTAATTTCTATTTGATCATGTTATCTATTCCCTCACTTCCATCTTCTATGATCCATCTTTTATTGTGTTTTCTGTTATTTGCTCATGTCTTTAATTTACCACACTTGACCACGTAATATTATCCCAAGATGAGTTCGATATTAGGCTAATGGGGATTTTTAAAAAAAGTCAGAATAGACATGGATGGACAGATGGTAGGGAAAAAATTAAGACCATTTAAAAACAAAATTCCAGACAATTTAAAAAAAAATTAGAGATCAAACAATGCATTATAATTGAATAATCAGTCTTGTTAATTTTTAGTATCAATATATATAAACTATTTATATAACTTTTGTCAAATATATCAAATTTTATATTTTTTTATATACTCCTATTATTTAACATATCAAATGTTATGTTATTTGGAATTGTTATCACATATTTTTTTAAAAAAAATTAATATAAAGTATTGGCATAACATGTTGGAAAATCTTTTAGAAAATCTATTTCAAATTGTGCCCAATGATACTATTCTTAAGAGTAATTTTGACATAGTTGTCAAAGCTTTCCATAATTAAGTGAAACCCTCTATAAAATAACTAAGATGATAAAATAGTAAAAATTACATAATAACTTAAGAGAAGCACGAAAAGAGGGAGAAGGAAAAAGTGCCCAAATACTAAGGATAGTGGCTCCTACTATGTGATCTGCGCTACCTTTTATGGGCAAAAACCAATGAACATTGGGCAATTATCACTTATTAATGACACATTAATGCAATTAAAATGATAGTTATAGAGAATAATGGCATTTAAATTATAAGTTATCGAATAAATAGATTTAAATAATAATTAATATTATTAATCAAAATAAAAAGTTCTTTTGAAATATCGTTAAAATAATTAAAATATCCAACAACCCTACATACTTCAAAATGAATTTACCAATTGAATATGTTACTACGTTTGCTAGGAATTTATTTTATTTATTTGTTGCATAACTTATTTTAGTTAAGGCATGAGAGCTATTTGAGAAGATGTATGTGAGATTTAATTACTGGATATTTGTTGAATACATGCAAGTTACTGTTAATACAATTTTAATTTTTCTAATTGCCATTCGATATGAAGGGGCTATGTGCATATGGGTTTACAAGTTTAAAATTATGAGAAATTCTAATTTAATTAAGATATGAGGAGATTATATGGCAAGATTCTAATTTAATTAGAATTATTATTGACAAGACCAATGTTTCAAAACTCAGACCGAACGTTCTGACTATCATCCTCTCAATAAAACAACTTGGTTCAACTATTTGGACCATATGAGCATTTGGATCGGATTGACCCGAGTTGACCTAGGTGGATTTAAGAGAACTGAAGTTGACCTGAAAACTAAAGTGGGTCAACCCGGTCCAAGCTTAA